AACCAACGTTGGGTTTTAGCGAATATCTGATGTTAACTTCCAATCACAATGCAACATTTATCCAACACTAGAGGTGAATGTCGAGCCGATCTTGGGTTTTGACGTCAACCTGATTTTTAATTTCTACCTAAAATTAAACATCTGGCCAGTGTTAGAAGGTTGATGTCTGTCCAACGTCGGGTTTTGCCATCGAATTGATATTGATTTCCAAATAAAATTTAACGTCTGTCTAATGTTGGAAGGTTCATGTCAACCCAACTTTGGATTTCGGCAAATATCCCCTTTTCAATTCCAACCACAATGCAACGTTTATCCAACACTGGAGACTCAGGTCGAGCCGATCTTGGGTTTTGATGTGACGGATTTTGATTTTCATTTCCACCCAGAATTTAACATCTGTCCAATATTGGACACTTGATGTCAACCCAACTTTGGGTTTTTGTCAAATATGTGATGTTCAATTCCAACCACAATGCAACATTTATCCACTGATGGAGGTTCTTGTTGAGCCAATGTTGGGTTTTGTTGTCAACTGATTTTCATTTACAACCAAAAAGAAACGTCTGTCCAATGTTAGAGTCAGACAGAGAGTAGACAGTGCGTACATGCTCTGTATCTGTAGGCCTGTATATTCTTTATTCTGATGTTTGTCAGCCTTCACAAAGTGTTTACTCCTCCTCTTGGTGTCCAAACATTGAACCATCATCTGTGTGTTTGTTGCATTTCTTCTAAAAGATTAGAAGATAAAAAGACTTTTGGCACGTGTCCGAGGTCAGTGGATCCCCTGAATATAACACTGTTTAAAAGACGACAAAGATTTCCAAAGAAATTTCAATTTTCAGGTCAAAATTGGATTTTCAGAGTGCATTATTCAGATGTGAACAGATAATGCTGTTACACGAGCTGTGAACTGCTTGTAGCCAAAGCAGCGTGCCTTTCAGGCCTCAAAGAGTTTTCATCAGATTTGCTGTGGAGTGCAGGACATGTACATATGTCACGTTGACCTCGCGATGTGATATTGAAGACTGACAGTTTGAGGGACTGAACAATAGATGGTAAAATGATGGGCTGAAGTTAGGGGCTGTACAACGGGCAGAGGAGCTTTTCTTATTTTTTATCATAAATGCCTCACACCAGTTTTACATTCTTCTGGCGTTCCTCTGATTATATACACGACCTCCTGGGGATGAATATTTTTCCCCAGAATGAAACATTCTCTGTCAAATCCTGGGAAACTGACTTGCTCTAAGATATAACTCCAGCTACAGTCAAAACTCACTGGTCGTATTTCAAGCATGACTAACTTCATAAAAGAGAAATATGCACAAATATCTGAGTATCCAACTAAACCACTGAGTGTATTATATGGTTGTATAAATAATTTTTAAGGCAAAAGAATCTTAATCAAAATGAGAATGAACAGAGCAACCTGATCTCACAGAAACACGTGAAATGACCACAAACTCTGTGTCAGATTGAAGAGGACTGCTCTCACACCTGCCCTGTTTGGTTCAGTTCAGTCAAACTCAGGTGTGTTTGACCCCTCAGTGCGGTTCATTGTGCAGGTGTGAACACACCAAAACAACCGGACTGAGACCTTCTTGAAGAGGTGGTCTCAGTCTGGTTCCAAAGGAACTCTGGTGCGGTTGGTTTGTGGTGAGAAGGTGTTCGACCTGGATGTGAAGCAACTGCAGTCACATGACACATTGTTTGGGTTAAACATGAGCATGTTACAGTCCTGGAGGATTATTAATGTGCACCTCCTCCTGTACTGCCTTAATATGCACATTCAGCACATCCAATGCATCAAAACATTGTTTTCTAGTTGGAGCCGCGCCTCGTTTTCAAACTGTATGCTTTGACTAAAATGAACAATGACAGCAATATAGTCCAAGATGAGCAGCACTAAAATCAACCTGTGTAGTCGTTTCATTCTCGTGAATGTGGTATCATAAGAACACCTTGAGAGAATTTCTTCCACTTTGGCACAAACATCCACTTGATCTCAGCAATGAACTGATGAGAATTCGGTGGTCAAAGGTCACTGTGCATCTGACTCATTCTCCTTACTGTCTTTTCACAATATTTGGCACAAATGTCCACTTTGACAGAAGAATGAACGGATGAGATATTGGTGGTCATACAGTACAGGCCAAAAGTTTGGACACACCTTCTCATTCAATGCATTTTCTTTATTTTCATGAAAGTTTACATTGTAGATTCTCACTGAAGGCATCAAAACTATGAATGAACACATGTGGAGTTATGTACTTAACAAAAAAAGGTGAAATAACTGAAAACATGTTTTATATTCTAGTTTCTTCAAAATAGCCACCCTTTGCTCTGATTACTGCTTTGCACACTCTTGGCATTCTCTCCATGAGCTTCAAGAGGTAGTCACCTGAAATGGTTTCCACTTCACAGGTGTGCCTTATCAGGGTTAATTAGTGGAATTTCTTGCTTTATCAATGGGGTTGGGACCATCAGTTGTGTTGTGCAGAAGTCAGGTTAATACACAGCCGACAGCCCTATTGGACAACTGTTAAAATTCATATTATGGCAAGAACCAATCAGCTAACTAAAGAAAAACGAGTGGCCATCATTACTTTAAGAAATGAAGGTCAGTCAGTCCGGAAAATTGCAAAAACTTTAAATGTGTCCCCAAGTGGAGTCGCAAAAACCATCAAGCGCTACAACGAAACTGGCACACATGAGGACCGACCCAGGAAAGGAAGACCAAGAGTCACCTCTGCTTCTGAGGATAAGTTCATCCGAGTCACCAGCCTCAGAAATCGCAAGTTAACAGCAGCTCAGATCAGAGACCAGATGAATGCCACACAGAGTTCTAGCAGCAGACCCATCTCTAGAACAACTGTTAAGAGGAGACTGCGCCAATCAGGCCTTCATGGTCAAATAGCTGCTAGGAAACCACTGCTAAGGAGAGGCAACAAGCAGAAGAGATTTGTTTGGGCCAAGAAACACAAGGAATGGACATTAGACCAGTGGAAATCTGTGCTTTGGTCTGATGAGTCCAAATTTGAGATCTTTGGTTCCAACCGCCGTGTCTTTGTGAGACGCAGAAAAGGTGAACGGATGGATTCCACATGCCTGGTTCCCACTGTGAAGCATGGAGGAGGAGGTGTGATGGTGTGGGGGTGTTTTGCTGGTGACACTGTTGGGGATTTATTCAAAATTGAAGGCACACTGAACCAGCATGGCTACCACAGCATCCTGCAGCGACATGCCATCCCATCCGGTTTGCGTTTAGTTGGACGATCATTTATTTTTCAACAGGACAATGACCCCAAACACACCTCCAGGCTGTGTAAGGGCTATTTGACCAAGAAGGAGAGTGATGGAGTGCTGCGGCAGATGACCTGGCCTCCACAGTCACCGGACCTGAACCCAATCGAGATGGTTTGGGGTGAGCTGGACCGCAGAGTGAAGGCAAAGGGGCCAACAAGTGCTAAACACCTCTGGGAACTCCTTCAAGACTGTTGGAAAACCATTTCAGGTGACTACCTCTTGAAGCTCATGGAGAGAATGCCAAGAGTGTGCAAAGCAGTAATCAGAGCAAAGGGTGGCTATTTTGAAGAAACTAGAATATAAAACATGTTTTCAGTTATTTCACCTTTTTTTGTTAAGTACATAACTCCACATGTGTTCATTCATAGTTTTGATGCCTTCAGTGAGAATCTACAATGTAAATAGTCATGAAAATAAAGAAAACGCATTGAATGAGAAGGTGTGTCCAAACTTTTGGCCTGTACTGTAGGTCAATGTGACCTTCAATCGGTCCCATTCTTGTTCATGTGATATGTCAGTAACACCTTGAGGGAATTTGACACAAACGTCCACTTAGTTTCAACAATGAACTGATTAGAAATTGGTGGTCAAAAGTCAAAGGTCACTGTGACCTCCAATCCATCCCATTCTTGTTGATGTGATATGTCAATAACAACTTAAGAGAATTAAATAAAATTTGGCACAAACGTCTACTTGGACTGATGAATAAACTGATTGGAATTTGGCTCATGAAGGTCAGTGTGATCCCACTAAACATGTTTCTGGCCATAACTCCAGAATTCATTCACTAATTCTGACCAAACTTGACCCAAATGTCTAACAGGATAAAATGATGAAGGTCAAAAGGTCAAAGGTCAGCTTGACTGTGACATCATCATGTTTTAACGTCATATCTCAGGAACAGAAGGGGAGACATTTAGTCAGATACTGAATTGGTGACTCTAATCTTGAAACTGTGCAGACTGTTTAAAAGAATAAACTGGTTTTTTGTACCAGCCTGTAAACATGTTTATTTCTACATGTTAACATGGAGGTCTGCAGGGACTGACTCGCTCTTGTAGCCAGCCTCAAGTGGACGTTAGAGGAACTGCAGGTTTTGGCGTTAATTTTCAGGCTACTTGAGTGTTACATATATTTAGTTCCTATCAGTTTATGTTAGTTTTTCCCATTTTCCAATTATTATATTTCCTGGGAATATGTTCATCTGGAATTAAACCTACAACCTCCAGTTTTGCAAGAGAAACTATGCAGAAAGGCCATATATAACACCAACATGTGTTTACACTTTTACCGTAGTTCCATCATTCAGTTTGACCATTTGGGCCGCGCTACATGGTTTTCAGACTCAGTTCTTCTTTTCTGGATTAATGGAGATAAATGATTAAAAAAGCTATTTTGTGACCAGCAAACACAATCAAAAAATTATGAATGGGAGTAGAACAAAGACAGAAAATGAGGCAGAAAATTAGATCATTTGCCAACTTTGTGCATGAATACAAATACAGATATTTCTGTGTAATAAACTGATTCAGATTACTCCCCCAGGAAAAATAAAGACAGGAAGTAAAATGAGTCTGTGTGCAAACAATAATTTAGCTGTCAGTGTGTAATTTGGATAATAGCAGTGTAAAGAGGCTCTAATATTGGTAACCGCTCTCCCTCTTTGTGTCTGCCCTCTGACTCTCCCGTCACAGAGAACGCCATCCAGTCGTTTGGTTACGGCTCAGAGGGAGGGACTCTTCTTGTCACCGAGCCGTCGTCCACCTTCTTACCCCCCGCCCAGCCGCCAGTCATCTCCAAACCCGCTCCCTCTCTGCACGGCAACGCAATCAAACCCATGGACAGTGCTTGTATGTTCTCCACCTGTGCCAACCTGCAGGTGAGTGCTCCTGTGTCGGCTGTGTTTGTGAGTTTTCAGCTCACATTCCCTGCAGATGGTTCAGACTGCAGAATCTGCACTTTAGTCAGGTCTTATGTTGAGTTTCAGCGATTATTCTTTGTGGTAAAATATTCAGATAAACCTCTCTGTCTGTCACACAGCCTCCTGTCCAGAACTTTAAACCCGTTTTTTCTAAACTTCACTGCCTGTGCCGTTACTGTTCTCTGTTTCCGAGGGACAGAACATCAGTACACCACGGCAGTTTTGTCTAGTATTTATGGGGAAGTGAGGATGAGTCCAACCGACTGTAGGAAGAGAAATAAATGCACGCAGTGGAACACATCCAGACCGGACTGGGGACGTCTGAGCAGAACAGATTTATGTGCTTTGCTCTTCTTCACCTTCACACACATTAGCGTCATCCTGCATCCTGCATCCTGCATCCAGGGAAAGTGGGAGCCCATCCATTATGTACAGGGAAGAGGTGTAAGGCTGGAGGTTAAAGGCTAATATAAATTGCTATCCATTATGTAAGAGATTTAAAGCATGAATTATAAAATACCTCGACATATAAAGTGAGTGAATGTTTCACTGCTTTTTTTCTAACTCACTGACACACTTTGTTGTGGAGATTAAGTTACTCCAGGAGATGATATGTGTAACACCCTCCAATGATAAAATATGAGATGAAGAATATATAAAAACTGTATGAAGGAGCACGACGACAACAGAGTTCATCCTGAGTTTATCTAGAGCTTACTGAGCACAGTTCACACACAGTATTCAACCCACTCAACCCAACATGAAATGTTGGCATTGTACGCTTCTCTCAGCCACTGATACATCTGTACGTTAGTATCAATCAATCAGTCAATCAATTTTATTTTTAAAGCCCAGTATCACAAATCACAAGCACTAAGGTCTGCAGTGTGAACACAGCCTCGTCGTCACCATGATGACGAAGGTCCCCTAACATTAACAGCAAACTCATTTTAATTCAAACCAAGCTCTTTCTCTGAAGGTAACGCAGATGTTCTGAGCTGGTCTGTATCAGAGGCGTCAGATTATAAAACATACGGCTCGGACAGATCACTTTGTCATTTCATTTTGAGGACTCGTCATTGGTCATAGTTTTCGTTGATGAATTTATTGATGACTTTGACAGTGGAGTTGACACAGTGTGGTTTTCCATTTTTATTCCATCAATGTTCAGTCGGGTCAGCGCCAGCTTTGTGCAGAACTCAGAGTTCAGATGAGTTGGAGCCGCAGTTTCCCTCGACCCCTCCCACAGCTGATATCTTCTGTTTGCTCATTGCGATGCTCTCCTAAACTCAGCCGTGCCTCGGGGTCCTCTGTGTTTCCCTTTATGTGCAGCCTGCAGACATCTGTGTAGCACAGGGTGGTTTCTGCTGCCAGCGGCTCGCTAAAGATACAGCCAGGCTGTTTCCCATCCAGCTGACGTGACTGAGCTGCTGCAGGTGAAACTAAAACTGGACTGTATGCTTTAACTTCTGATGGTGTTCATGAGCCTGTTGTTTCTTAAACACCTGCATGAACCATGTGAACCACGTGTACTATGTCAGTTCAATCAGTCAATCAATTTTATTTATAAAGCCCAATATCACAAATCACAATTTGCCTCACAGGGCTTTACAGCATACGACATCCCTCTGTCCTTATGACCCTCACAGCTGATCAGGAAAAACTCCCCAAAAAACCCTTTAACGGGGAAAAAAACGGTAGAAACCTCAGGAAGAGCAACTGAGGAGGGATCCCTCTTCCAGGACGGACAGACGTGCAATAGATGT